CAGGGTGCCGGGAGGAGCTGGCGGAGGAGAGGCTGGGGGGAAGCGGGAGGAAGGCATGGGGGGCTGCTGCGGGGTGCGTGTGGGGGCCGTGCCCTGCAACAGCGCAGCCTCGGGGTTAGAGCCCCGCTACCCTTTCCCTTCCCAAACTCAGCTAACCTCCCTCCCGGCTCCACGGCCACACGAGCTTCCTAACACCATGACTGAGCACAACTCGGCTCGCGCCAGGCACCAGCCTCCACCCAAGTCTGACTCCCGGACACCTGGGCCCCCAGCGTAGTGGGGCTGCCCCAGCAATGGGGGAGGCGCGGGAGGAGATAATCCTACCTCGGAGGCCCAGGAGGGCACCTGGGCAGTGGGTAAGAGGTGCACAGGGAGCCTGGCACCCCCAAGGGGCCAAGCACCCACCCCAGCAGAGAGGTACTAGGGGTTTCAAAGACAAGGGGGCACGTGCCCCCGGGTACGACCTGTCTTCCACGGGTGCCAACAACAGGCCCAGACAGCCCCAGTTCCCCATCAGCCCCCCAAACCAGCTGGGCTGCATCTCCCACTGGCCCAGGGGCTCCCACGGGGAAACCGATGCACCCAGTGCTCAACCAGGACCCTGCTGGGTCCCACCAGGACCGGGGTGCCCCTCGCTCCACAGGAACGGCCCGTTGCCACACCAAAGAAGATGCACTGTTAATTCACAGACTTGCCTGGCCAGTGCCAGGGCTGTGCCTGGGTCCTGCCAGGGCAACTTTTAATTCTGTGCCACCTATCAGGGCCTTGGTACACACAAGTGCCCCCCCGCCCCCAAACCCGTGTCCACACTGCCAGCCCCTGGCACGGCCAGGAGAGGGCACTGGCTCCTCCAGCTGGCCCACCTAAGCCAGGCAGGAGTCACTGCCAGCCACGGGGCACCCATGGTGGGGGGCACCCACCCCGCTGCCCTGGCGCCCAGCCTCGGGCTATTAAAGGCACTGGCCGAATGAGAACCCAGGAGTCCGGAGCGGGCACGGTGCCCATCCCTGAGCTACGAGTGCTGGGGACGGGGTCCCCCAGTGTCCTCTAGAGCTGGGTGCTGGTGACGGCACTCACCCCGTGCACCAGCACGGTGGGGCCCAGGTCCCGGGTGAGCAAATCCAGGTGGTGCAGGTAGAGCGGGTACAGGCCGGTATCGGCGGGGGGCCGGGGCAGGTAGAGGAAGCGCACGGCGGGTGCGGGACTCTGCTCCAGGATGAGTTTGTTGGCGGCGCAGACATACTCATCCGACACTTGGGTGGCGTTGCCCGGGAAGGTCACGGGGCCCTCCCC